TCAAAATATTGAACCATGGAAAAATGATCCTAACTCACGATTTTTCCATTGAATCCAAAAGATGCTTTATGATACTGATTTTCGAAAACTATACTCTGTGAACTACGTGACTCGACCACAAAAGTAAAACTACCCTGAGTTGAACATTATGTTAAACCTCTCTTTGTGAACTACAAAACGGTTGATGCGATTACGTTATCTATGAAGATTATTATCGATGATGATCAAGAAACTCTGTTTTGACCCTAACAAGGGAATGTATGTGCAACCAGAGAAGAATTGATGTCACAAGGATCAAGCTGAATCATTCAAGCAAAAATACCGAACCTATATGTGATATTGGTGTAAGAACTAGTAAGATTCCTTACTTTATGAATTCGTGAATTGAATTCATACCGAAGATATTCTATTCTTCCCTTGAAATGAGATCAACCATAGTGTTACAATCAAACCTGTCATTATCATGAACGTATCTTGATATATTTCAAAAATCAATGAAATAAGGTTGAGTACGACAAGACATATATGAAACGCCACTCGAACGTCATCACCTATGAATATGAATTAATACAAAGACTCATGAAGTGAATGAAGAAATGCTTCCATGTAAGATCGATGATGACAAGCTACTGTATAATCAATCGACAGTACTTCCTCATAAATGATGACAAATCCGATATTCTAAAAATCATGAACCGATAAAAGCCATTTGATGTTAATTATGAGTCATTGCTGAACTATGTGAACTATGTGAAAATGTTTTGGATGACTTAGAAGATTACACTGTGACGTATGAATTGAAACAAACTCTAATTCCCTAACTATACTTACAGTGAATGTGATGATTCAAAACTACAAAGGGTATTGAAAGACTTTCAATCAAAGACGTAGAATTGAGAATTGTGAATGAACGAAGCTATGTGCAAATATGTCAGGTATGCTCCAAAATGCGATGTTATACTCTACAAAGGACCTTAGTGATAGATGTTGACTTAGAAAGGGAACCTAGAAAAAAGGATTGTTGGATACCTTCATTAATCTCTCACAGATAGAACGAGTTTGATAACTACGACATTTTGAGAATACATATCTGTGTGATAATGATGTAATTATGGTTTAACCGAATGAACATAACACAGTCATGATTAACTAAGATCACTACGAAATGTTGAATGTGAGCCTTAGAAGAATTTTGAGGACAAAATTCTTTTAAGGGGGAAAGAAATGTAACGCCCCAAATTATACCCTTAAAGTTAAATTGAATTATTATTCAATTAATCAAACTTGTTTTGAGAAAAAATAAATTATTGTTGGGCTTTGGGCCGATATGAAACATGTTTTGACATCCAATATCACAATCTGGATAAGTCTCATAGAGATAAATCCAATATGTTGACTTATTGTATGATCTTGATTGGGAACCTACCTACAGACCTAAATTAAGAATAAATGAAGAATTTGTTTATAATGTGAACTTTGAATTGATTTATTGAAATAAATCATGAGAATGAGTAATACTCCCTTCGTCCCCCTGTATTTGTCCACTTTCATTTTTACACACCATCCAATGCACTTCTTTAATCCATTTTATCTTGTAATTTGTATATTAAAAAATTATAAAAATTATATATTAATAATCCATATGTTAAGACAAATCAAACAAGATCACACATGACTATATTTAGGCTTACACATTGAGAGAATTTGATGAGTCAAAGTGCTTAGATAAACAGTTCTAAAAGTCAAATGTGGAGAAATACAGAGGGACGGAGGGAGTATGAATTAAATGAGAGAACCTTTTTGAATAAAGGTCAACTAAATCAATTTTGACTCTGTCAAAATCAAACACCCAAAAATATGATGTCAGAAAAAATATTATCAATAAATATAAAAATTATATCGTTGGATAGAGTTCGAATGTCTGATCGTAACCGTGCAAACGGATTTCAATTCGGAGAAAGTTGTACCAATAAGTGTACTCCAACCGGGACCAAAATTAGTCACAATCAGGGAACGACGACTGCTTCTCCACTATCGACGAACGTGAATCTTCCTACGTAGCACACACTCAGCATTTGTTTCCTTCCTTCTCCTCTTCCCTATAAGAGAAGAACTCAATCTTCTCATTTCTCCACCAAATTGAATAAACTTAGTGTTATAATGTTCCTAATTTTAAGGAGAGCGTTCTGGAATAGTTAGTTTCCGTCAAGGTCGCCGGAGCTAGCCACAAACGTTGTCGGAAAATTCTCAAAACCTTCATTAAGCTTCGAGATAAGCCCGTAAATATCTAGTGACTAGAATGTTCGTATAGATCGTTTCTAAGTTCATAAACAGTCGTTTGGTTGAATATTGTGTGTGACATGCTTGAAGAACCAAGAATCACAAACCATGAAATTCTTGTTAAAACTATGAATTAATGAAACCAAAGTGATCTATGAACCTTGGATATTATTTCTATATAATTTAATTAAAGTTTGGTAACTAAAAATGGTACTCTCAAAATTGGACCCGAACGAAGAAGAAGATGAACAATGATCAAAAAATGCATCGGTTGGATCGATCCATGGGGGTGGATCGATCCCCTGCGAGTATTTTTCTATAGTATGGATTGATCCAGAGGCCCCTGAAGTTTTTCTCCAAAAATATTTCTAAAAATTCTATTTTTGAGCTCTAAAATCCTATTTTTGATACCAATCAATTATGATTAATATAAAGATGATTTCTTGGAATAAAAATTATGTTTTAACAACTAAAAAGACCTTACGTGATTCATGACGATAAGATAGGGTGTTAACACTCGAAGCTAGGCCGCTAATAGCTATTAGATGTTATGTTGATTGATTATTATGATGAATGATTATTATGATGATTATGATTTGATGAATCCACTGATTAAAATGAATACATTAATTATTATGAAATGATTTGGATTGTAAGGATATCTAGAAGAACTCTAAGATATATTTAGGTTAATGTTGGTTTCTAAGACTATCTAGAAGACCTCTAAGATTGCTTAGAAATAGGCCTTGCGGGTATAATTATGAATATTAGGTAGCCTGGGTTAAGACGTACGTATGAGATCTACAAACAAAACTTAAGGATCACTTGTTTGTGGATACCATTCAACCCGACAGTGAGCCTTCCGCTGTTTGATTTCTCGTTGACCTTAAGCGAAGGTAAGTTTATGATTTTGAAAACCTCTTTTGAGAATTTGTATCTTAAACTAGGCCTGTTAGACAAATGTGAAACTCTAGAGGGGGGGTGAATAGAGTTGTTTTCAAGAATGTGCGTTTTTCGCGTGTGTGAAATAATAGAATCGCAGGAATAAATAAAGAGAGTAAGGGAAAGAAGAACACCGAGATTTATACTGGTTCACCACCTCGTGGCTAATCCAGTCCTCCGAGAGACTCTCTCGAAAGTCCTACTAATCTTCAAGCTTCAACGGGTGCTGGAAAAACCGGTACAACTTGAGAACTTGAATCACACAAGCCTCACTTTCTTACAACAACAAGACTTGAGTCACACAAGTCTTAAGAACAACACAAAAGAGATTGAGTTTACAACACAAGAATGAAAGCTCACACAATTGAGCAAAGTAGTGTTGAAGAATTTAAGCTCTATGGATGACAACTTCTTTAGCACTCAAAGAAAATATTTCTAACACTCAAAAATAATATTTTGATGAGGAAGATGAAGCAAATGATGAATATAGCTCAAAGAATATATTGGAGTGCAAGAGGTGTGTGTAGAAATGAAGGAGAATGAGGGATTAAATAGGCTGAGGATAAAAGATCCGTTGGAGCAGATTGAGAATAGACACCAGACAATATTAATCGATTAAGGTAAAGCATTTAATCGATTAAGGTGTACAGAAGCGAAAGGGTCTTTTGCGCAGGGTGCAAATTAATCGATTAAATTTGACAAAACAATCGATTAGATGGCGCTGTCTCAACTAATCGATAAAATGAAGAAGATTAATCGATTAATTTAAGAAAAAGTCTTCAGCGAGAAATGCAACCTTAATCGATTAAGTTTGATGGAAAAATCGATTAGACTGCGCTGTGAGAACTAATCGATTAAAAGAATAAGAAAAATTGATTAATAATGAAGGCTTGAGAAATCCGGAACTGGATCTAATCGATTAATTTAGAAAAATTAATCGATTAAAGTGGAAATAAAGCGCAAACATAAAGGGCCCAAGCAAAGTGCGATTGGAAACCTTTGGCTTCTAACTCGTTGTTTTGGACAACGGGAATATCAACGGAAACCGGACGCTCCTATCTGATTCAGTGAATTTGAGTAGGAGAGAAAAAGAGTCCAAAAATTATTTTGTGTGTCAAACGATGTACAAGAAAAATATTTAAAGTATATTTTTCTTACCAAAAAAAAATTGTGTAATCTTAAAAAAATGTTTTTAAGAAGTTTTGACACACTTATTTTGAAACTGACTCAGTAAAATATTTTAGACTGAGGAAAAGTAATTTTTCAACTGACTCAAAAAATAATAATTTTTATCCCTCAGAAATTAATTTGTTTGTGCAGAAGATATTGTCATCCTTACAAATATTCCTAGACTAAAATAAAAAAGTCCTCAGAGTCTTCACTTCACTTCAAAAAACAATCTGCGTAGGGGTGGTCGTCGATTTATATGGCCGTAAACTTCTTGATACCCTTCTTTTCTTTTCTCGATACGAAAATAAATTTTCGATCAGCTGGAAATTAATCATCCTGTTTGTCATTCGTCAAAACAAAAAATATTCCAGAAGAAAAAGGGGTTTGAACTCATGTCCAACAATTTCCTCCTTTTTGATAATGACAAACATAGTTGAGAAAGAGCAAAGTAAGAGTTCAGAAATTACTTCCTTTTAAGAAAAATTCCACCTGTAAAGTTAGAGAAGTGCAGTAAAAGTAATCGGAGTAATAAGCGGAAAAAAAAAACGAAAAAAATTTCTCAACTATCCTTCCTTCCCCCTTTTGGGATTATCAACCGATAACCTTCCCCCTTAAACAATGCCGGGATATTGAAGGGAGAAATGCCATAAAGGGACAATATGTTCTAAATAAGAACAATATTGCCAAGCCAACAATGATATTAATACACAAGCAGTTAATATCAACTAGCATCATCGAAAGGAAACATCATCATCCACCAAAAGAGTCATAACAAATAACAATGTGTCATAATCAGTCAAGAGGGAAAGAAAATAACAATCAAAGAGAGTTCGCCAGACGAGCTCCTCCGCCAAAACTGTGACGCGGGACACGGTAGGAGCGAGATTGCTCAAGATGAGTCATCCTCTCGTTGAGCTGGCGAACGTCATCTCGGATGCACGTGAGAGTATCGAAGATCTTCTTCACCCAAGAAGGTTCCGGTGCTTCTTCTCTTGGACGAGTCCTCCATTGACGAGTGACGCGCTCCGTGGCTCGACTTCCTCTGGCTTGAGATGACTCTGCTTGAGTCTCGTTTTGGCTCTCTTCTTCTTCTTCTACGACTATTAGGTCCATATTTGGTGCAGCAACGCCCTCCTCTCGATACACGATCCGGGAAAACTTGGCTTTAGTGATGAAACACGTCTTCTTGACCGGCACCTGAGTGTCCCGAGTAAAGTCTATTTTGCAATGAGCAAGGATATGCATAATGGGGATGGCAAAACGGAGATGGGAAAAACGAGTGCCATCGCTAAGTGCAATGATAAAGAAGTGAACCCAATCAAATTTGACATCGTTCAACAGGACGTGAAACAAACGAATATCGTCCTTGTTGACAACGCCATGGTTCGAATCACGGGGCAACAAAACATATGAGAAGATGTATTGTTGGACGCGTTGAATTAAAGTGAGATTAATGACACTCGGGTTGCTAGAATTTCTAAACTTGAGGTCACGATGATCTTACCCGAGTTGTCGCCAAATTGCCTCATCTTGGAATGTTTCATCCAAGTTTTCGGTAATTTCACCGCGACGAAGGCCAAACAAAGAAGTCAAACCGGCACCGTCAATGAAAACGGTTTTGCCGTCAACATAGGAAATGAGAGATGACAAACCTCCCTTAGTGGTACGAAGATTTGCATAAAATTGACGTATAAGATTTGGACAGAAGAATTCATACGTCAAATGAATGAAACGAAGAAAACCTTGCTGAAGAAACAGAGACTTACTCGGGGCATAGGTCGCCGATTTGAAGAGGTCCTTGTTCACGATCTTGGGAGAGACGATCTCCTTCGTGAGGAAGATGTTGTGGAACCTCTCGACTGAAGCCCCAGTGTTGAAGGCAAGACCCGTTTGAATGTGAATATACTTGCTCCCTTCACGACGCCATGGCCTCTCATTCTCCTCTACCGCGGTTTCTTGACCTGAGGAAGCATTCTTGCACCTTGGCATTTTTCCTTTTTGAAATTGATGAAATTTGGAAAAAAATGGAAGAAATTTGAGAAATTTATGATGAAGATTGAGAAAATTTGAGAAGGGAAGAAACTAGGGTTTATCTGATTCGAAAAAGGGAATGGCGAAGAAGACGAAGCCTGGGCTGGATATAAGGGCATAAATCGAATATTAATCGATTAAAAGAAAGTATTTAATCGATTAAGGAACACAGCCGAGGCAAAATCGATTAAATGAAGTATTTTAATCGATTAAAATTGGAGCTGAACCAAACGTTTGCGTTTCAAGCTATTAATCGATTAAGCAAACGTGGTTAATCGATTAAGATGGACAGATGAGTCTAATCGATTAATGTAACCAAATTAATCGATTAAAGTGACGCAGAGCAAAAAGTTTCGGATTTTAATCGATTAACAAAAGTCAAGTAATTGATTAAGAGGGACAGAGGCGACTAATCGATTTCTCTTCGAGGAGTAATCGATTAAAACTTGTTTGACAAAAAAAACATCAAGTCCAATTTGGTTGAATACCAAGGGAAGAGATACCTACAATAAAAGCCCTGCAAAAAAGAATTTATCGCGCCTCCGACACTTAAATTAGTATAGTCAATAAAAAGAATGGATTAGTTCATAGAGATATCCAAAATTCCAAGTTCGTTCCGAATGTGGAAGAAACTCTCCCTACTAAGGGGTTTCGTGAAAATGTCGGCCAATTGATGTTTCGTTTCAACAACCTCAATTGTGACATCTCCCTTTTGGACGTGATCTCGTATGAAGTGATGCCTAATTTCTATGTGTTTAGTCCTGGAGTGAAGAACGGGGTTCTTCGATAGACTAATGGCGCTCATATTGTCACACCTAATTGGGATGTGATCAAGTATAAGGCCGAAATCCACTAGTTGTTGTTTAAGCCAAAGAATTTGGGCACAACAACTTCCCGCAGCGACATATTCCGCTTCGGTGGTGGAAAGAGCAACACTAACCTGCTTCTTACTAAACCACGAGATTAGCGAATGACCGAATAAGTGGCAAGTACCGCTGGTACTTTTCCTATCGAGTTTGCAACCTGCAAAATCCGAGTCGGAATAGCCAACAAGATGACATGTTGAACCTTTGGGATACCAAAGACCTACATTCAACGTGCCCGCGAGATATCGCATTATCCTTTTGATCGCAACCAAGTGCGACTCTTTAGGACATGATTGATACCTAGCGCATATACAAACGGAGTACATGATATCCGGTCTACTCGCGGTAAGATAAAGTAAAGAGCCGATCATACCTCGGTAGCGCTTGATGTCAACATCTTTACCTTTTTCGT